ACCGGAAATTAACAAACAAGTAGATACGTAAAATAGTGGTTTCATCGAGAATGTTTCATTGGGCCTTTAATATTACTGAAAAGTTTTCGTTGGTGGATTTTTTAAAATTATCTGGTGAAAACCATTCACGTTCATTCATTACAATACAAAAACACACGGACTGATTCAATCTACCGCTAGAAATAACTCTGTCTTCTCAAGTATCTTTTGATGCTTCACTCAACCACGTATGTATAACCTTCCCTCGAATTTACTACAAAACGATGGTGTCAAATATTTTAGAAATTTCTAGGTGTCCTAACAGTGGCGTATTTAACGTTTGTGCAATAGGGGCAATGTACAGACTGGCCCTTCATATTGAAGGAAGCTAAATTAATGCAAAAACAACTTATAAATTTCTATACCTATAGCTGTTCAGTAAGAAAAATGCACCGAATAGTTTGAAGTGTTAAGAATGGGCTTATCTTAACGTTATCATTATGACTCGTATCTCCTTCTAGTTAACATCTAAATTACATTAAAAATATAGCTTATACCAATATCCAAAAATCCACATGCATGTCCATATGTTGGTAATATATCTAAAAGGTTGGAAAATATTTGTCATTGTTATATTTAAAACATATTGTGATTATTCATGCTTTATTATTAACCTATGTTACTTTTAACTTGTTTTTTTCTAAAACATTTTTTTCTGAGAATATGATTTTGAATATTGTAGATACTATTACGTCTCTGGTCGTTTGTTAATTTCCGGTATAAATTCTTCCCAAGGAACTTCAGCGATACAAGTCCTTTCTTAAATAAAACTAGTTTATTCTTTCTCACTACAACTTTGCAATACACAGAATTTCCACAGTCACTTTAACTTAAACATACACTATAATTCACAACGATTCACGCACTTTACTTGAGGTCACTACTGATCACTTGACTCAGTTATCTGTCGCTGTATCTATCTATCTGCAATTATATCTCTGTTTTATTTGCCCGGGCTTATATGCCTAGAAAAGACTAGAGTTGCCAGAAAAAGTCAAAATCCTTCGAGAATCTCATGACGTGTTACCAGCGTCACGTGACTTTCACTGTCGTACCACTGCCCCTTCCTTAGTACTGTTTGGGACGAACAATAGCCACCTGCAT